CAGCTTATTCACAATCACATGTTCTTATACCTTGCTTAATTTCTAAATAAAAACAATAACCAAGTCATATGTCTATCCAATATGATATAACTCTCTATGTACAAACAAATGCATTATAGATTTTAGAATAGGTGGCAATGTTTCTTGAGGAACTTTCTTTTTGCTGTATCATAAATATGAAAACCACTGGCAATTGTCTCAATTGATATTATTACATGATAAAGAAATTGAAGAAAGCACAAACATTGCGAAATGTATGTCTATAAATGCACAAAAACTATATTTAGCAGCCTCAGCTAAAGAGCTCAGAAAAGTTAGGTAACTTTGCCAGGATTGCACAGCTAACAAGTGGAAGAACTCAGATTCACACACCATTATCTGATTATGATTGTTTCCGGGTTGTTTTCTTGTAGTCTGTTCAGAGAGTTGAAAAACACCTGCTATAGCATTAGCTCTCAACCTTCCTAGGGCTGCAACTCTTTAATACAGTTCCTCATGTTGTGGTGAACACCCCCCCCCATATAAAATTATTTTGTTGCTACTTCATAACTGTAATTTTGCCACTTTTATGAGTTGTAATGTAAATCTCTGATATGCAGGATATGTGTGATTCCCCCCCGCAAAGGGGTCACGACCCACAGGTTGAGAAAGGTTGTGCTGTAGATAGTGTGGAGAATGAATCATTCACCCAGAGGGGATGACAAATCAGTATATTTCTAAATACAAATACATCTGACTGTGTGCCGTTGCCATTCCTGGCTTTTAGGGGTCCCTCCAGAAGCTGAGGAAAGGTCATTTCCAGAATCCTAAAACAACTGAGACCTTGAGACCCAGAAGGAAACATGTCCTTGGCTTACCAAGGCAGCAGGACAGAGGCAAGTCACATGTTCTTCAAAGCAAGTACACTGCCGGAGGAAAATGCACTAAAGGTTTACGGTATTTCCATCTTACTTCTGTACATGTAACTTAGACCAAACAATTGTGGTGACCAAAGGAGAGTGTGTGGTGAGTCACTAACACACACGTAAACACATTCTCACACACCCAAACTGCATACATGACCGTGGCTTAGATGGACTTTTTGTCATAGCAGGTAACAGGCCATTTAACAAGGGGAACGTGACACAGGAAAAAGTAAGGCTTGCTGATTCTGGCGACCTTCAGGGACAGGGAGTAAATGCAAATTTCCTGTCACCAAATTCCCATGATGGGTAAGTGGATAGTAGTCTTTCTCCACTGACAGAACAGACAGGGGATCTTCCACTTGTAGCTGAGGTTTAACCATTGGGCACATTGGAAACCTGTGGAATTTTTGCATGTGGTTTGAGTGTGTGAATGGATAAAACCCTCCACTAAACCCACCTGAGGATGTTATCCAGTCTTTCTAAAAGCTTTCTAGATCAAATTCTGCCATTGCTGTTTTAGCGCCCTCATTACTATGAGTTATGTAAGTGGAAATTCTCTCTACCGCTTTGTGCTTCCACTGTTCCAAATTACAAAATGAATATGGTCTCCATACTTGGATTGTGACTGATCATAGAAACTGGCGTGTTCTTAGAACATGCAGCAAGGTATATGTCGAGTCTCAACCACAGTCACAGAAGTGATTATGAATGTTGTTACTCCCGAGTATACATTCTCTCTCTACTCTTAACACATGTTGGTGGTTCCATCTTTGCAAAATGACAAGGCAAACTCTCTAGGATGATGGGTCCTTCACGGAACCAGACAGCATTGTTGCACCACCTATTTTCAATTTTGTGTTTTTTCCCGTCATCTGTTTTGACCCGAATACATTTTTAATGGGAACATCACACGCTAAGATAGTCATTGTGGGCAATTTTCCCGAGTGTAGAAAGGGCCCGAACCCAGACTCTCACCGCAGTCTGAGAGCGGCCGCTCATCAACGTTTTCCATAACATATGGCACTGAGGGTAGTTTTGATTTTCTTCTTGGAACTACAGGGCTTAGCTTTTGTTGTGTTCATCTTAGGAGTAACTTGCAGCACATATAGGAAGCCTTTGATATTGGACACACTCATTCACGTACCAAGCTTGACAATCTTCCCTTTTATCAGTTATCAGCAGGACTCCTGTATCTCGGCATTTCCTGAGTCAGGTCTGATACCATCTCCAATTCATGGTTACACTAACCTGGCTTGTACACACTAGGTAATCGATTCCGCCTTCTACAATCGCTGAGTCACAACACTGCAGTCAGAAACGTTTTTTCTTTACCACATAACGGAAATAGACAAATCATTTCAGCATCTCTACCTAAAACTGCCGTGTGAGCTGAATGTAGGTCAGGAGAGACAGCTCTGTGCTTGAGACGCGCAGTTTCGTTTCAGGGCACCGTGTCTCCTGCTTGCTAGATTAAAATCCTGAGAGTCTCTGAAATGAGCTCCTTTCCTTCTACTCTTTTAACAAAAATTTGCCAATAAAATATTTTGAGCTGAACATTTGAACAGCATATGTAAAACTCCTTTAACACCGTTTGACCTGAAGACTAAACTTGAGCTCATTGGCAGAAGAAAGAACCAGGCACAAAGCTGAATAAACTTATTCAGGGAGGAGTTAGAAACCCAAAGCCAGTGATCCCCAAAGGATCGTCACCTCGAAATCACCTGTGAATTGTGACCTCTGTAAGTGGGGGGAGAAGTGACCCTTTCACATGGGTCACCTACACTATAGGGGGACCATCAGAAAGCACAGATGTTTATGATTCGTAACTAGCAAAATAAGTTATGAAGTAGCAATGAAAATAATCTTATAGTTGGGAGTCAGCACAACATGAGAAACCATATTAAAGGGTCACAGACTTAGGAAGTGTGAGAACCACATCTCTAGGTTATACATACAGAATCTTGGGCCCATCTCTGGGCTGGTTCGTAGGATTACCAAGAATGTCCTTCTGGAAGTCCACTGGCGGCCACCTGTGGCTTGCTTTGTTTTCTAGATGGATTTCACCCAAGGAAGAAAACTAAAGCATTTCTTTGTATATGCCAAGGGGTGAGTGGTGTAATAGACATTACAGCTGCTGCTTATTTCCTGGAGTTGATGTTTTCCATCAGGCAAATGACACAGAAGGAGTGGCAGTGCTGGGCAGAACAGTGGGGAGCACCTACACTGCTTCTCTGGGAGGGAGATAGGATGATTTACACGGCTTGCTGATGAGGGCAGTCTCAAACTATTGATGCTTTAGCAACCATCACAGATTTATGGAGACTTAACAATGGGTCTGTAGCTCGCTCTAGCCTACTATCAGACATAGAATATATGGCAAAATTTCACAGCATAATCTGAGCGTTTCATTGTTTAACTTGATATGAATTCCTCCGATAACACTATACCTATTGGAATCAGGACCTCAAAGGTAGTTTAGTGTCCCCCTAAGTCCTTATTTCTCACTGTTTCCAAGAAAATGCTCTAACAGAGTCTAGGGTATCATAAAATGGATGAGACTAGGGAATGAGCCCTTGGCAGAAAGGAAATGCCACCTCGAAGGCAACTGCCTGTTTTCACCTGCTATGCCCGAGCTCTCGGAACTGGGGAGCTGCCCCTTGCTTGGGAGCACCGGAGTAGAAAGAAATATGAAACGGGGCTAAGGAAACTGGACTCTGAAGTGAGAGTGGCCGGTGGGTCTTTCTGTGCATACGCTCAACATAGGAAAAAGGTGTCTCTAGCCTTGGTCAAGGTCGGTGCTACCACGAAAGCTCATCACTGCGAAGCTGAAGCGCCCACTGCCTGCTTTTCACCGCAAGGTCAACTGGAGGGGTGAGCTAGGAGGCACCACGGGCAGAGCCCTAACGTCCAATAGCTGGGACTGTGCTGTTCCCTGCAAATACTTTTGGGAAATAGAACAGTTATATTACGGCAGCCTGATAAACACTAGGTCCTAAATATACCTTCAGACTGTGGCCCAGCACATGTAAAAGCATGCTAAACATATTCCCAGATCCAAAATGAACACTTCTATGATCAGCCACCATTAGACTGTTCCTTTGGTAAACATTCAGAAAGATCAATACCTTTTGAAACTATGCTGTCTACTCCAATTATACACAGCCACAGCAAAGGTGCACAGTAGGAGGCCAGCCTCGACACTGCCCTATAGGACGGCTGGCTTTGTGTGTTAACTTGCTTCCATTCTGGTTGAGTGGATTTCATAATTTCATAATTCTCTGCCCACATTCTCTTGTTTTCCTGACTCAAAAAGGAAGATATTTTACCTTCCAAGAAGACAAAGAGAAAAGTTAACTCCCAAATGAATCAACCAGAAGAAGCTGATTCATAGTAGGTATCACATTTGAGCACAAACGCTTCAGAGAAGGGAGTGTAGGTGGAGTTCAAGTAAGAAGATCTAGACATAACTCACTAGTCAATGGGCTCTTGGACCAAGTCATTGAACTTGTTTTATCTATAAAGTGAACATGATTCCGCTGAAATTACATAACCTTTCCTAACAACATACCAAACATATTTATAAGGTTCTTAATCATTCCTCAAATGTTCCGAACTTGGAATTCAGATCATAGGGAATCAGAGGTAAGATGCACATGTATGTACTTGTACTGGGTTCTCAACAAGAGAAGCACGGAGAGTGTCGGCTCCTGGAGTGAATGTGGGGCGGGGAGTGGGGCGGGGGAGGAATGTGAGCTTTGGGGGAAAACCTTACACAGTGAGTTAAATGTCCACTCCTAAGTATGGCTCAGGAAATGCCAATTTAGACAAAAATGCCAAGTCACAAGGTATAATACCCATTTGGCTACCTGTACCTCTAACACATACAGACTCTAACAAATTCAGACTCAGTCCAGACATCGCACCACGTATCTAGTCCAAGGCAAAGGCCAGTGCGAGTCTATGAATTCCAGGCCAGCCAAGAATACATAGAGAGACCCTGTCTCGGGGTGGAGGGAGATTGGACTAACAACAAATAAAGGCAGGATTCACTGAGTGTTTCTGAAGACAGTGGAAAGAATAACTCCACACAAGGGCTCACGATGTGAATAGCAAATGTATTTAGTCTAGCCTCAAACTGCAAGAAATCCAAAGTTTGACAGAAGGTGAATAAATTAGAAAAAACATGCACACCAAAACATGAATGATCTCAAAAATACAAGAGAAAACCAGACTAACATTTTTCTGGACTCAAGATTCATGGCCACCATTCTGCTATGAACAGACTTGAGAAAAGAAACATCAAGACACACAGGTTAGAAATACATCTTGATGGCTGCACTGTTTTCAGGTGTGTTTACCTGTCCAAACTCTACGAGACATAACAGTATCAGTTTATTAAAGTAGACCTAAATAAAATCTATTGAAAATGAATTCCCAGCCATGGCTCCTTCTCAGTACTGGGAAACTTCATGGTCTCTTATTAAGACTACACAGTCAATTCAAATGCGTGCCCTTCAAGCACTGACTCTAGTGCTGAAGCAATGATGTCCAAAAATTGTCTCCCTGGGGCTGCAGGTCAGGCTTTTGAGATAAAGGGAGCGAGTAATAGACTGCAGATCCAAAGCATCACAGTGTCATGATCTAGGCCTGTGAGAACCGTCCCTAACCTGATAGCTCATTCACTGTAATGGGTGTAACCAAATATTAGTCTGTACTGGCTACACATCCGCTCTCAGTCACTGGGAACCTTCCTAACCAACAAAATGAAGCAACCTTTGAGGAGGAAAATAAACACCTTTGAGCTTCCAGCGACAGTGAGTTTCAAACTAAGAGTCCACAAGCCTCAGAGACCACTTGCACAGATGTACCCTGTGCACTGAAAGCCAGGTTGGGCCAGATTCCCCGTCTTTATTCCTTCTGTATTTAGTGGCTCAGGAAATTTTCATGACCAGTTCTTTCAGAAGTCAGTTCAGAGAATATTCTAAAGGGATAAAATTAAGTCAAAATTAAGATCTCCCAAATTATATTCCCTCTCAGAATGGTTTTAGCATTTTTATAGCCGTAGATGTCATGAAAGGAATCTGCCATTCCTTTGACTTTCACTAGCACCTTCTGTACAGTGTTAGGAGAATTGTACTTTGAAAATCTGGCTGTATATATTTTCTTATTTATGTAACAATTTGCTGAGAGAATATGTATATTTTTGATCTTTTTGTGTATTCTTTATGTACAATAACTGACATACATTTGAATAATGACTAGATTTTGAGGAATTATTTGTGTAATGGAGAATTAAAACTTTGTAGACATTTAAAAATGAAAATTAATTGTGGTTAGCTTCTCCAAAAGGTTATCATGTGGAATAAATGCCTTCTAAAAGCATTCTCCTAGAACTGGTTAACTAAAGATTACACTATATTTGCAGCTGTCAAATGCAGTGGGACAGTCTGCAGTATTTTTTTTTTTTGCACAAATACAGGATTTTAAAAGTATATTCATTAAAAACAATTTCTCATCAACTTTGTGATTCTGTTTTTCACTTCTAGGACATTTAACAGCTGTTTACAAGTCAGTATAGATTTAAGTTTCTAATAAGAATGGGCTTTATAAACATGTTATACAAATCTCTAAAATAGTATGTGTAAGCTACATGTTATAGTTTGGGTCTTTTGTTTTCTTCATTTGCTTATCAAGAGAGGATCTCTCTAGTTTATAAGGCTGGCCTCAAACTTATGATCCTCCTGTGTACGCTTCTTCAGTGTTGGAATTACAGGCATGTGCCATCTTGCAGTTACATCCCCCAAATGACGTGTTTGGAAGTTCGGAGCCCATTTGATGGCACTGTTGGGAGATGATGGAGACTCCAGCAGGTCGGGCCTAGTTGAAGAATCAGCTCACTGGGATTTGTCTTTGAAGGGTGTATTTTGTCCCAGGCATCAACCTTTGACGACCTATGCAGTTCTGGGTGGGAGACCTGGGATTTGGAGACCTTGTAGAATGAGGCTGACTACAGTCTAATACTGCAAACATTGTCAGCTTCGTGTTCTTGTATACATGGATGTAACTAACAAAGCAATGCCCAAGGAAGGTTGTTTGAGTTCAGAAAGACATGTAAATAAACTCCAGAAAACACACATTAAATGTGAACAGAAAAGCTCTTTCCCAGAATAGAGCAACTCAAACAGGATAGCCTGGCACACACTACAGGTGTATCTGGGAAAGCACAGAAGCAAGGCAGAGGTCATACCCAGATCCAGGGTACACTGGGGCCCTGCACCAGATTGGGTCCCATAGCTATGATTCAACATCCAACAAGAATAAACATGTCTTATAAATCAAATGTAAATGTTTAACATGGGTGGCATGAAATCACATCCAAGAACAAACCTGGCAACAAGATGTGCCTGAGGTAAAGACCTTCTGCCTTTCTGGAGCCTCTCCACAGTTCAGCCCCCGGGCATTGTTCATTGTGTGTTCTTTTGACCATGTTCTGATACGCAGCTGCCGGCTTTCATAGTCTGTGCTTCCTGGCTGCCGTGAGGTGAGTTCTTGGCTCCATCACGCCTGCACTTCCGTGATGCTGTCTTGCTGTGGGTCCAAAGCAGAAGAGCCAGCCTACCACCAACTGTAACTGAGTCAAAACCAGTGTTTTCTCCTTTTTGTCACAGTGGCAAAGTTGACAATAGAGTAGTGTGATAAAGTATTCAGAATTATCAATGCCTGTGGATTAGAAAACAAGTTGTAAAGTTGTAAAGTCTGATGAAACTTGGAGTGGTTTACACTAAATTGTCAGTGATCTTATGTTGTTATAAAGCTGTAAAGAACTATAAGCATGTGAATATTTGCCTCCATTCCACTGGAGAAGTGATATTCACACTTCTACCAGGCACCCGACACATGACATAAAAGACAGAAGGTGTGAAGAACTACATGATCTATGTCTTCGTATTTAGATAAACAGGAAAGAATTCTCAAAGAGTTAAATTTAGATACACCTGCTTTAAAATTTTCTGGGTAAGATGAGCTACTTAAAAATCAAATAATGTAAGTTGGAAGTGTCAGAAGGAAATAAAACACTCTGAAAATCCTAACACAGTGAGCAGGAAGGAAAGATGATGCCGGTACATCTCCAGATAAGAAGAGCGGGTTTATGCTTTGCCCCAGAAATTCTCCTTTCTTTTCTGGGCTCGCGCTAGAGTCTGAAAAGCCTGGAGACTGGACGCGGCAGAGCGGGCGGAGATCTCAGACAGTCTGTCTGCGTCTGTAACGAGAGAGTCCAGGATTACATTCCCGGTGGAAATCGCCACAGAACAATAATGTACTAGTAACAGAAAATCAAAACTATCGCATCAATAGCAACGTTGGATCTATCAGAAAACAAGGGATCTGGTAAATGGAGAGTTTAACTCATCATAGTTCACGGCAGTTTCCTACGGTGATCATAAACCTTTTACATCCTTGAAATCCTCAAGATTTCCCAACTCAAAGTTAATACCTTCAGGAACTTATTGGCACTTTACAGATTAGAGTCAGGGCTCAGGATGGTACAACAGTCATTGTGAACGTTCACCTCAAGATTCCAAACTCCTCCTTCCTTTATTAAAATCAAAAAATTTGATAGGATGAAAAAGGAGGAGTACACAGGAGGAAAGGGGGCCTATTTTTTATTAATTACACATATTTTGGGATGAAAAATGATAAGAATATGTAGGCATTTGAAAAAATATGGATTAACATCAGGCCACATTTCTGAGACAGATGGAAGCAGCAGAGCCGTGGCCTCTGCTGAGGGGAGGCACACTCTTGCTGGGGAAAGACTCCTCAGCACACAGCCCGACACGACTCCGGTGTAAGCTGGGAATAATTCCATCCCTATCATAAATAAGGTCTCAAGGGCCTAATGTAAAAATATCTACAGGAGACCTCTGCGGTCTGTGCAGTGCCAGCCAAATATGAGATCATACACTACAAACCACCTTACAAAAGAGCTGGTGTTGATCTTAAGTATTAAAATACCTTCGTCATTAAAGACTTCATGTGGAGGTAACTGCAAATTGTTCATCCTTGGCTTTCCCACTTAAAGAAAAAAAGGCAGAAGACATTATTCTTTAGCCACCAGACATCACATACTAACGCAATTGTTTCAACATTTGTCCCCTCCAAAATTCATGGTGAAACTGAATTGCTGTTGAGATCGCATTAGGAGACCTTATGCGTGTGACCTAAGGCAGTACCAGGGAGGGTCTGTCCTTCTGTCTCTCACCTTTCTGCCAGGAGATGATGGATGCTTCACTAGATGTTGCCCCTCTCTTATCATGCACTTCCCAGTTCTTCAGTGGTGGGTCTCAACCTTCTTAACACTGCGACCCTTAATACAGTTCCTCATGTGATGCTGACCCAACCATAAAATCATTTTGTTGCTACTTCATAACTATAATTTTGTTGTTATGAATTATGATATAAATATCTGATATGCAGTATATCTAATATGTGACCCCTGTGGAAAGGTAATATGATATGACTCCACAGGGGTCATGACCCACAGGTTGAAAACCACTGGGTAATTTTAATGTGTTTGGCAAGTCCATAAACTGTGAAAGCTCCTAAACTTCTTCGCAATGATAACATTGGTGTAACTTCAAAGAAGCATAGACGGCCTCCAGTAAGAGATGAAAAATTCAATATGCACATTTAGAGAGAGAGCAGAGCCCACAGAAAAAAGAAAATGAAAAACAAGGAAACAACAACCACATTAAGAGATTGGAAAGAGTCAGAGAAGGCCAGCACAAAATTTACTAAGAGAGCAAAAGTCATAAGTGCACAGAGCAGAGAAACTAAGAAGCAGCGGCCATGTGTCTGTCCACTTGTCTGTCCCTCACCAGTGATGTGGGGTTGGGGATGAAGCAGGCAGGGGTGGGAGGATGGACACACAGGACTCTGAAAACCTTGCTATGCAAGAGCTAGATCACAAATGTTTTTACACTTGCACAGCTGGATTCCGCGTCTCCCAAGAGTGGACTCAAGATTCGGCTAAAGGGTTATCAGTGCTGCTGTGGCCAGATGCCCTAGAGCCAAACAACAGGAGCAGCAGAACTGACCAGGCTGAGAGGTCTGCAGGGGGCAGTGAAATGAAAGGAAGCCACCCCCTTAGGGGTGCTGGCTGTAAAGTATCAGCAGCATGGGGTATGAACAGACAATCCCAGAAGCCAGGAGAAAGAAAACATCACACGCAAAAGCTCCATAATGGAGACTGCAGGATTCCCAACTGTGAGGGAAGGAGGCTCAAACAGCAGAGCAACGGCAAACCAAACCAGAGAAAACCAGATCTATGTGCCCTGGGAAGAACATGAGCGACTCCTCTCACTTTGTAAAACTGAAATGTGGAACTGGGTACAGCAGCACAGTCTAGCATCAACGAAGGAGATCTGCCATTCACTAGATCACTAGCCTGGGCTACCTCCTCAGGCCTTGCTGAAAGGTGGGGGGGGGGGGAAGGAAGAGAGAGAGAGAGAGACAGTGGGGGAGCCATTATAAACTATAAAAAAAGAAATGAAAACCAAATAAACAACAGAATTCTGTTGGCATGTGGTTTTCCTACAGCACTTTACTTTTATTTTAAAAAGACAAGAAATTAAAACTAAAATACTCACCATTCTGCTGAAATTGAGGGTCTCGCAGACGGCCTTGGATCCTGCTGGAAGGACGCCAGTAAGGTAGGACACCTGGAGTGGAAGGCCGTCCAGGCGTGTCTGTCTGATGTTCTGGAACTTTGGCTTCACTGTCCTCCCGCAAAGGCAGGGGATCGACTGTCTTGATGCCAGCAGCAGGAGACGTCAGCAGAGACACAGCATGGTGGTTTCCTTTCTAGATGACAAAAAGAAATTAAATTTAAAAAAAGGTGCACACACATGTGCAAAAGTAAAATAGGAGCCAGTGTTCAAACACAGAACGGTCACAAGTCACAGAAGATGGGGGAGCGGGAGAGAGAGTCCATGGAGAGAAGGCTACGTGCACAACCAGCACAGAGAAACAGACCTGCTGCTGGGACGACAAAATGAACATTAAAAACGCACTGAAAAGACAAACGTGGGAGACAGAGCAATGGCGAATTATTATCACACTCCAGTTGTCCCTCCTTAGCAGCAGGAAGAGGCAAGCTTCATCACAAAGCAGAACAAGGCATTCGTTGGTAATTCAGACAGATGTAAGACTAGTGAACATTCTACCTCACTAGAATTTTGTAATCACAAAATAAAAGCGCTGAAGTACTAACTGTCCATTTACCAAACTGTAAGAGTTAATTAAATTAAACACAACATTACAGAAATGACACAGAAGTAGAAAGACAGGAACCTTCTACAGAATTACTGGGACTCACCCTTTATGAGAGCCCAGAAAGACACAATATAAACTTTACAATTGTGTGTGCTCTGGTCTACAAAGCAAGTTCTAGAACAGTCTCCAAAGCTACAGAGAAACCCTGTCTCAAAGAACAAAACAAAAACAATTGTGTCTGCATTAATGCTATATTAATACTTGGGAAATAATGGCAGGAGAGGGTAATAGTGATCTAGACCAAAATGTAGCTGACAGATGGATTTCTTTATATTAATTATAAATAAAAATGAAATGATATACATCTGAAAACTATATTTGGATAATAGTATCTGGCTCTAGAACTTTTAATTATAGATTAAAATAAATGATGCTTAATGGTGCAAAAATATGTTCGCAGTATAGCTAAGTAAGAAAAAGTAATCAGAAAAAGATGTATACAATCTGAAAGAAAACTAGCACATAAAAAAAACAAAAAAAAATATGAAGCCTTGCCTGTAGGATACCAATTATTTATACACTATAACTAAGTACTCAAAGCTCAACACTGATGACCTCACAGAGAGCGGGCACGGAAGCAATCCTTTTCTTACTATGACCGGATTTCCACAGTGACAGCGCAGCTTAACCCTGAGCGCCATGGATTGCAAACACAGGCACAGACCTAGTCAACCCCTGAGCACCCCTCATCCCCTCATCTGAGCCCATGGAAGGGACATTTATGCAGTTCCAACCCAAGGTATCATTTTCCATGACTGCGGAGTGGACGGCTTCCTTCCGAGTAGAAGACAACAGGTCTCCCACTGGCCTCCCCTTACTCCGTACACTTAGGGAGTTACAAGTCGCACTAAGGAGCAGTCTTTCCTTCCTCTGTGGCTCACACTCTGTCACCTTGGTGTTACCACTGCTAAAAAGAGCTGAATGAAAGCTACAAAACGGGCTTCACGAGACCAACTGGTGTATTTGTGAGCCTCGAGCCTCCTCACTGGCCCACTGTTCCCACTCTCCCCACAGCAGCCAGTGACTTGATTTACCCTGTGAGTGAGATCCACTACAGATCTCCGGGGCTCCCCAGTGCCTTTAGGATAAAAATCCAAATACCTCCCCTACCCACCCTGTCACCTCACTTCCTGCCTCTCTTTCCTCTAGGCCCACCTCCCACTTCCCCTCTAAAACTCATAGGGTACAAAATGGCAGCTGTGGGGAGGGGCTCCCCGCTCCTGGAGTGTCTTTAGGCGTTATGGTCTCTGGGAAGGGAGAGGCTGTTCGTCAGCAGAGTGATTAATGGTGGGCTGCCTGTGCTCTTGTGAATGACAACACACTTGGGATTCTGTTAGAAACCTTAACTATTCGATTCCATAAATCGACTTCTCTGTTTTTACGCCAATACCAAGCTGTTTACAATACTGTAACTCTGTAATAGAGTTTGAAGTCATGGATGGTAATGCCTCCAGAAGTTTCTTTACTGTATAAGATTGTTTTGGCTATCCTGGGTTGTTGATTTTCCATATAAAGTTGATTATTGTTCTCTCAAGGTCTATGAAGAAGTTTGATGGGATTTTGATGGGGATTGCATTGAATCTATAGATTGCTTTTGGTAGAATTACCATTTTTACTATGGTGATCCTCCCAACCCAAGAGCAAGGGAGAACCTTTCATTTTCTAGTATCCTCTTCAATTTCTTTCTTCAAAGACTTAAAGTTCTTATCAAATAGGTCTTTCACTTCCTTGGTTAGAGTTACCCCAAGATATTTTATGCTATTTGTGGCTATCGTGAAAGGTGATGCTTCTCTGATTTCCTTCTCTGCTTCTTTATCCTTTGTGTATAGGAGGGCAACTGATTTTTTGGAGTTGATCTTGTATCCTGCCACATTACTGAAGGTGTTTATCAGCTGTAGGAGTTCTTTGGTAGAGCTTTTGGGGTCGCTTAGGTACACTATCATATCATAAGTGGATTCTAGCCATAATTAAAGGACATTGAGCCTATAATCCGTGATCCTAGAGAAGCTAAATAAGAAGGTGAACCTAAAGAAAAGCATATAGTTATCCTTCTGGACATTGGAAGTAGACAAGATTGCCAGGCAAAACTTGGGTGCACGGGGGTGTGGGGGGGGTGGATATAAGGGGAGATGGGTAGAGAGAAGGGAGAAGGGGAGGATTCGGGAAAGCTTGGGGGAATGGGATGAGTGGGATGGAGGAAGAGTGGATATGGGAGCAGGGAAGTAAATATCTTAATTAAGGGAGCCATTTTAGGGTTTGCAAAAAACTTGATTCTAGAGGGGTTCCCAGGTCCAAGGAGAGGTCCCCAGATTGTTCCTTGGGCAGCAGAGGAGAGGGTGCCTGAACTGGCCTTGTCCCATAGCCACACTGATGAATATCTAGAATATCACCATAGAACCTTCATCTGGTGATGGTTGGAGATAGAGACAGAGACCCACACTGGAGCACTGGTCTTAGCTCCCTAGGTCCAAATGAGGAGCAGAAGGAGGGAGAACATGAGCAAGGAAGTCAGGACCATGAGGGGTGTGTCCACCCACTGAGACAGTGGGACTGATCTAATGGGAGCTCACCAAGGCCAGCTGGACTTGGACTGACAGAGCATGTGATCAAACTGGATACTCTGAATGTGGCTGGCAATGAAGGCTGACTGAGAAGCCAAGGACAAAGGCACTGGGTTTTGATTCTACTGCATGGACTGACTTTGTGGGAGCCTGGTTTGTTTGGATGCTCACCTTCATGGACCTGGATGGAGGGGGGAGGACCTTGGACTTCCCATGGGGCAGGGAACCCTGACTGCTCTTAGGACTAGAGAGGGAGGGAGAGGTGGGGAGGGGGAGGGAAAAGGGAGGCGGGGAGGAGGTGGAAATTTTTAATAAATAAATCAATTAATAAAAAAATAAAAAAAGAAACCTTAACTAGTGTATGTGTGGGGGGGTCACACCAAAAAATAAAAACACAGGGGTGGTGGTAAGAGAAGGGGAAGAAAGGAGGGAGAAGGAAAGAGGATTAGATGGGAGGAGGGGATTCGTGGGAATGGAGGTGAAGAAGCGGAGGCAGTGAGGAGCACGTATGATAAAAGCGCATGGCACGTGTGTAAGAATACCAGAATAGAGCACATATGCTATTTACATGTAATTAACAATATGCATAAAAACAGAAGAAACTGAACTACTCAGCCCCAGGAGAGAACAAGGCCAACCTTGTGTTCTGCTTTGGAACACACACCAGGATCCCTGCCAGCATCTCCCCCTTAGTCAGGTCTCAGCTGAAGTGGTACCCACCCCACACACCCACCCAATCGCCCCAACCACAAAGCCTTGCCCATCCTCGGAGGTCACCAAGTTTAATTCACAGCACCTCTTCCTATCTGAAACCATTTCCTTAAAAAGATCCTTTGTCTATTTCTTTCAGTGAAAAGGGAAGTCCCACAAAGTCTGGAAGTTGTGTCCCCAGATGTTAGGACAGTGCCTGGCACACAGTAGGAGCCATTAAATATGAAAGGAAGTAGACGAAAATACAATTCCTTATCTTCCTCTCCAAAATAAGCTTATAAGTTTTAACTCAATATCTACCTTCCCCTCAGTCCTGTTGGACAGACAGAAAACCGCAGGCGACTCAGTTTCCTCCCCCACTATCCGACCCATTCGGATATGACATGACACCTTCCCTGACAGTGCCCCAGTGTCCCCCATGTCTACCTGTGCTGCCTGCACTGGTCTCTGACACCAATGTCTCCTTTCTGGACATTGGCCTTTGTAGTCTACTCTGGCTTCCAATGTTGACACACACAAACCACACTGAAACTATTTCAAGGCAAAGTACGCCCCTCAGTGGCAGAAGGCCTGCCTAGACTGTTCAGTGGCCCCTCACGCTTCTGAGATAATGGGAAAGTCTCACTACTACCTTTGCCAGTTTGTGATATGCCATGATCCTGCCACACCCTGCACCAGTAGGAAGAAGTGCTGTGAATTATCTGCAAGTGTGCTCCGAGGAGGGTTGTGCGGGGAGTGCAGTGCTTCGGCAGGCTGACTGCAGAGGGAGCTGCTGGCAGGGAAGCTGGAGAGCTGCTTCCCAAGCACAACAGAAAGGTGCTCTTTCCTGACTGGGAATTTTGTACATGTGCCATGCTCCTCTCTTCCGTCCTTTTAGCCAGGTTAGAGATCCGATGCGTCTATTGTAGGTGAATTATGACTTCTAAGAACACCCTTGACTTCAGAGAAATTTCCCTGTACTAAGCAAGAGCCCAGCCACAGAGCTATATCCCCGGCCCCACAAAATCCTCAACTGGGCTAATGCCTTAGGGAAAAGCACTAAGTACTCCAGCTTGAAAGACTTGCTAGTTTTCGAGTTTACAGTTTTACTTTGTCTGACTAATTGATGTGCGTTCCTCCCAAGGCTGTAGGTTCTCCAAGGCCTACTGTTCCGGTCAGAGCCACGGCATCTAGCATGTGCATACATGGGTAAGGTACAGTCACAAGATAAACCAAGCTGCTGCACACCAGGTTCCTAACGCCATCTATAAGAACAGCGGCAAAGGTGATGCACACCTATAATCCCCACAACTCCCTCAGGAGGCTGAGGCAGGATTGTCGGTGTGTGCTAAAGAAACAGGAAATGGGGGCTGGAGAGTTGGCTCAGCAGTTAAAGGCACCCCATGGAGGTTCACAGCCACCTGTAACTCCGGTTAAGAGGGAGACCTAATGCTTTCTTCCGGACCCTAGGGGCACTAGGCCCATAGCGTGCAGACACACATGCAGTGAAAACAGCCATAGACAGAAAAAATACAAGTTTAAAACTTAATTTTTTAAAAACAGGAGGAAATGGATTAGATCTTCTGTCACTCTAGTAAGAGTCATTATACACAGTGAGTTCAGCCTGGTCTATGGAGCAAAACCTTGCCTCAAAAAAACAAAGGAATAAAATAAGCAAGAAAATGTTTCTTAATGAACAAACCAAAACCATGAAAACTGTCAAATTTTGTGACACAGCATTGTTTAGGAGTTAAAACCACGGACAAATCAACAAAAGCCAAATTCTACTCAACCAGGAGGGAGCCATGACACTAATTCCTATACTAAGTGCACACAATGGCCTTGTTTTTAAGTCATTCTGAAGACTCAATCAGTTAACACTCACACAGTGAAGGTACTCAGGCTGCTGCCCGCCCTAACACCCACAGTGTAAGGTATACAATGTGAGGTCCACAGTGAACAATCTCTGTGCTATAATATGTTCTCCTAATCCCGATCGTAAAAATCACGTTTTCCTCAAGGATAACTGAGTAATGGAATCGTTTTCAAGGCTGTGACTGTAATTTCCTATGTAACAGTAGGTCTGATGAGAAATCAAGAAGACACTGATTCCTCTACCCAGGCAATAAAAGAGCCAAATCCACTTCCTGGGCAATCCTGGCAATGTGGGTGGCAGGAAATTCACACGGCAGCTTTCTATCCAGTTGATGGTACGGACATGAATCACACTGCATGCCCTGTGGAGGAGACCAACACTAAAAGGTTAATGTAGTGTTAGTCTACTCTGTTACTGAAGAAACTAATTTCACAACCAATGAAAAAACACATGCAAATACACCTACAGATCAGTCCCACAGAGGCCAGACAGGGTCTGTGCCCAGCTGCCTCAGCTGGACGCCAGCATGGACTTCCAGCATGTGTTAGGAACCACATTCAGGTGCTCTGGAGGAGCAGCGAGCAGCTTAGTCACTGAGCCGTCTCTCCAGGCCAGGATAAACGCTCCTTCATTAGCAGTGCCAGAGACTGAATCAGGACCTGTGTGTGCTGGACAAATCCTCTGCCTTCAGCTACAGCCCAGCCCTCCTTACGCTCCTTTCCTGTGACCTCCAGGACACTGCCGACTATCACTAACTCACTGGGTGTTTGCTTTTCCTGGTTACTTCTCAACTTCCTAATATCGAAAACCTGGGGCTCAGACATGTCTACACCGACTCTTCACTGTTGATACTTGTCCCCTCGACCACCTAAGTCTTTAAATACCTGTAAAATATATATTTATAACATATAAAAACATACGTGTTATACACAACATATATGCATGCATATTATATACATACATGCATATCTGTTGTATGCATGTGTATATTGCATGTACACGTATGTGTGTTTGTATATATGCTTATGTACATGTATATGTGTGTGTTAATGTACATATGTGTATATGTAGGTGTATATATACATATGCATGTATATGGGTATGCATGTAGATATACGTGTGTATGTGTGTGAAATACAGAGCATTCAGTATCTCCCCTCAGCCCACTTTTCAAAAACATAGTCAGTTACCATCAGCATGTCTGTTCATACAGCTCATAAGCTTCTCAACTCTTATACATCCTAAAGAGAACTCCTGCTATTTTCTGACAAATCTTTTCCTATCCATCTTTCCTATCTCAGTTTAAAAAGCAACTCCGCTCCCCTTGCTCAGGCCAAGCATTTCTCGGTCATCCTTGATTCTTCTCTTCCTCCCATACCGTATCTCAGCTTTCAGCGACTCTTGGCAGACATCTTCAGGTACATCCAGAACTGGTCTTCACCACACTCCAGTCACCATCGTGTCTTCCTGAGTCTGGTGACGGGCTGCTTCTCACGCGTGCCCAGTCGCGTGCCCAGTCCCTGCGTCCATCCTCTCTGGCACGGGAGAGCGTGTCGAATAGCACGAATGCCTTTCCTACGACCTACAAAGCCCTACACGACTTGGTGCAGCTGTCTGTCCCAGGCTATTCTGCGCTCTCGTGACCGTGGCCCCGCCGTCCACTGGACAGTGACCCCAATGAGCCCTGGGACTTTGGTGCAGTTTCTATCTCCAGTGCTCACCAGTGCCTGAAACATGATCGGAACACAACTGCCAGACAACAGATCACTTTTTTCTCCTTCCTTCCCGATAAGTCATTACTAAGAATATGTGAAAGCAATACAATGTCAAGACCAAATAAATCAGTCAATAAATCCCAGTGCCTTTGCCTTGCCCTATCAAAAGGTTAGCAGTAATATTTCTACATGCAGTAGGCGGGATTTCCTGAGGTCTTGGTCTACATGTCACCTATTACAAGGGGCCACATGAACCCAAGAAGAGAGGCTTTCCTCTGAAACACAAGTGTCTACCTTAGGAAGGTCCCTCTTCAGAGTGTCTAAGCCATCCTGGGAGGACGTTCTCTTCCTCTGCTCTGGGGCTGAAGGCTTTGCTTTAGATGGTGACACTAAGACCGCCCCACCTGGAAAATCCCACAGAAACCAAGTGTCAATCACACTAAACAGGCATTCTAAACAGGCAGACTATGGATGTCAGGGTTTGATCATTACCAACAGCCGGAGTCGTGAGGTCATGGTGGGTCCGCTGGATGCCGAGTTCTCTCAGTTTCGGAGTGGGAAGCCTTCCCCCATTTCCTGAGGAGACAGAAGATGACTCCGACCTAAAAGGTGGAACAATCTATTAGGGAGCCTCTCTTACAGAAAACTACAATCAAAACTATGTCATCAGTTACGGAGCAGAGTTAAAAAAAAAAAAAGCATAAACTGTCTAAGAGACATCTCTATCTATGGAAAAAAAATCAGATTCCGATGCAGGGCGCTTGTGGTGACACCTTCCTAGAACCCGAGTTTAGGAGGAGGGCATGGGAGAGTCACGAGCTCCAAGCCAGCCTCAAGTATTCAGGTAAGCCCCTGCCTTAAAAGCAATCTCTTTAAAAATTCTTAATCCATTTGTAGTTAAACGGACGAGTACTAGAAAGGAGGGGCGATCACTGTAAGTCAGCAAGCCATGGCTAAGTCATCTTCCATTTAGTCAGCACCAAGTTCCACATTCCTGCAACACCCAGGAGTGAAAAAGGGTTTGACTACAGCCAAGATGGACCACTAGCAAGAGTAAAGAGCGCCCCAAGCTGCCTACACACACAACCACTGCTATTAGTGATTTTCAGAAACCACTTTAAAACACTACAAACCAGTAGCTTCCCCTTCTTGACAGAACCATCAGAAATTTGATCCATGAAGCCATCCTTCCAGACACATTACAGATCTGGTAAGTCCTCCCCACCAGGGTGTCACTGCGAACATCTGTGTCCTCCTGAAGGAGCACCACTGCTTCCGTGCTCCATGAGCACCAGTCGGAGCCGTCACACAGCACATACCACATGGCAGTGGCCACTTCACTGCGCCAAAGCAAAATCCTGCTCTTTACTAGACATACAACTGCAGGTGCAAACCCCTATGCCTTGTGAGAGCAAACACACATTAGTCGTGTGCTAGGATGTTCGCTATGTCGAGGAGTTTGGGTCTCACCTGTCTTTCACTCTGTCTGCCTTAGACTTGTCCTGTGTGTCCAGTTTCTCAGGCTCGTCCACATAGATCTGCTTGTCTTTCCCCTCTCCCTCCTCCCCGTCTCCCGTGGGCTGCTCCTGCGTGTCTTCGTTGGTGCTCTCTGTATCCCACGCCAGTTTCCTCCTGACGGGCAGGGTGGCCGCCTCTGGCAGGGCGAGCTTCCCAGTGGTATCTCTGGGGGACTGCTCTCCCACGGCAGCTTTTCTCTCCTCAAGTTTGGTAGAAGGATGTTTCTGGGGAGTCTGGTGGCCTGTGAGACCGCTGCACAACAAAGAAAGTTTCACTGTAAGTGCGTGTCCGAGTGTTTTAGTTTATAATGGTCGAGTGAGTTCGTAACCTTCCGTCACTTGTTTCCCACAACCAGGCCTTGTCTAGGTATTGAAGTTATTGTAGAATATGATAAATGAAAGCTATGTCTGCCTACCTTCACACATAAGTGCTTGCACTTCTGGTGACAAAAGCCATTATTTACCCCCACAATGAAAAAGACTAACATCCCAACTAGGCTAATTTGTTGTAAGTAAATTCATATCCATGTACAAAATACATGTGAACAAGTATACAGATTCAAATTTTTATATATTAGATTCATTTTTCCAAAACATTATTAAAGACAGTATTTTTGTGAACTTTTGTTTTGTTGTTTTTTGAGACAGGGTTTCTCTGGGTAATCCTGGCTATCCTAAAACTCACTCTATAGACCAGGTTGACCTCGAACTCACAGAGATCCACCTGCCTCTGCCTCCTAATTGCTGGGATTAAAGGCACGCACTACCACCGCCCGGCCTTTTGTGAACTTTTGAGGCAGGGTCACATAAGAAAATTTATAGATGAATTTAGAATATGGGACTACACTGGTACACTCTAACTTAAAACTATCTTATTTGTTACAAATCAATGTATAATTCCTCTTACAAACAGTTAAAGCACGTTCACTTTAAAATTCAAAACAGCAGAGAATTCTCTACAAATAGAGGCCATGTATAAATAATAATACATATTAGTCTGAGATATGTATTTGTGAATGATATTGGATATATACAAATAGCTTATATTCTCATGAGTTTTTTATGGTTACATTTTTTTAACTTCTTAAAGTCATTTTACATCTAACCTATAGTCATTCTGGTTCTGTGGTTGGCACAGAATATTGTGAAATTCAGCATTCCATAACAATGTACTATTTACACAGAAACATAAAGAGCAAGTAGAATAGAGAATAACTTTAAAGCAATAAGAGATGCATTTGACTGGAAGGCAGACTGTGGGTAGCAGGTCATTTTCCCTGGGTCATCCTATGACGTACATAAGCTACAACACATCTTCTCACCACCCACAAAGAACACCTCACCCGGCAAGATCCAATGCTCGGATGCTGCTACTAATGGTTCCTTCTGAGCTCGCGGTGGAGGAGACGTCCCAACAGCAGTTGCTATCGGACAGAATCTGGTTCAGATGGTCTCGAGAAAAATGTGTTCCCTGAACTCGCTTCCTGTAAGATTCAGCCTTTTCCCGGAGCTCCTTAACCTACACCGAAGAGTGCAGACGCCACCTGTTATTGTCAACGCTCTTACAAATGTCAACAAGGACATAGCAAAGCCAACGCACTGAAACAGCCAACGAGAAAGGAATGCAAAATTAAAGCCACATAACTCCTCAGACTATGCATTGAAGCAGAAATTAAGACAATTAAGCTAAAGCACAATGCAGTTTTTTACTTCAGACTGGCAGGCAAGGAGACATTTGTGGCAGCTAAGAAAAATACTGAAACATACTTTTTATTGCAAATGAAATTATACAAGTATTCTATGCATTATTATAGTTTTTAAGAACTCAAAAGCAACCAACCTCTGCATACCACATGGCATTTAGAGAACCCTAGGGGAGGAATACAGAGACACACTTAATGACAGGTTAACGCCATAAATAAGTATTAATGGGGGTCAGTGAGATGCTGTACCTTATTATTATTCCTTCTAAATATATACAAACTTGTCAATCACTATTTCTTGTATTCTTAGTAACATTTAACTCAGTAACCAAGACATCTTAATACTGCCTCAAGGATCAGGCACATTTCTTGCTTGTAACAGGTAACAGATTACTATTCCCAGCTCTCCATCTCTGGCTGTGATGGTGCTGTAATGAATGGGTAATTGATTGCTATTCCTAGCTCCTCATCTCTGGCTATGATGGTGCTGTAATGGGTAATTGATTGCTATTCCTAGCTCCCCATCTCTGGCTGTGATGGTGCTGTAACAGGTAACAGATTGCTATCCCCAGCTCCCCAGCTCTGGCTATGATGGTGCTGTAACAGGTAACAGATTGCTATGCTATCCCCAGCTCCCCATCTCTGAAGAGAGTTGACATGTCAGTAACTCCCAGCCTGGCTACTCCCCCAGCTTTCTACACAGCTGCTCCAGTGACTAAAGATCCAATCAAAGTTCTGAGGTTCCCTCTCCAAACCACTCAGTTTTCCTTGGAGTCAGCGAAATCTCAACTTCAAAAAAAAAAAAAAAGCACTAATTAAATATATATTTGAATAGAAATCCCCACCAAATAATGGTTGTATATTCAACAAGTAACAGGATTTTTTTTTAATTATGATGAATACTTGGCATTCCCCTAACCTGCAAATAACTTACTTTTCTCTATGCAAAGGACCCTAACTACCCACTGGAAAGCCCTTTATCTCACACTCCATACTGCCACCTGCTGGTTTCTCTAAACGCAAATATACAGTGTAGAAACCACAACACAAAAAGCTGAATCATTAAAATTCAGCATTAAAAATCTTGTTTATTACATTTAACAATTTTTATTGCATTAATAATTCTGTAATTTTAAACATAGAATTCCCATATTTCTGTAAAATCCTTTATCCCTTGACTATTTTAGATATGACTGTGAATAGTGCCATCTTTTAACCTCCATGGAGAGAAAAACTGATTATGCCATTAGTAGTAGTGTGTGCATGCAGACATGCGTGTGTGCATGCAGACATGCGTGTGTGCATGTGTGTGAGCGTGTGTGTGTGTGTGTGTGTGTGTGGTCAGAGGAAAACTGACCTTAGGAACTCAGCTCTCTCTACCATGTGGAACCCCAGAACCAAACTCAGGCTGTAAGGGCTGGCAGCAAGTACTTCCCCTGCCGAGCCTTCTCTTCAGTCCTAAAATTGGTTCATTTTCTCCCATAAAGGTTGAGACTCTTATACTGGGCGCTGGAACTGCTTGCTTCACTTAAATGCAGAAGAGAAAAGCAAACAATGAAATCCGTGACGCAAAAGCCATTGGGGAAACTACCCAGGGCTCCTCAGAAGACAGCCAGTAACGGGGAGAGCACAGCACGTCAGGGGAGGAGCCACCACAGAGAGAGCAGAACGGGAGAGCACAGCACGTCAGGGGAAGAGCCACCACAGAGAGAGCGCCTGTACAGCTAAGGGACCACGCGACCCCAGCAGACCGCTCTTAGGCAGAAGAACTGGAAAATATCCTGAGGAACAAGCTAAAATCCTACTTTTCTTCACCACCAAAAATAAACTATGTATACATCAGTTCTATCAACTCCTGTACTTCAAGGGGAATCAGCACTAGCGGTGTGTACAGCAACGGCAGAACTAAGTCGTCTGGTATAAATGTGCTGAGCAACTCACAGGGCATTCCGAGTGAGTAGGAAACCTGCTATGAAGTGCCCATGTGTCGGATGTAACATCCGCAAGCCTCACATCACTCCCTCTGTGTGCTCAGGGTCTCTCTCCATGAACCTGTGAACCTGCAGCAGGGAGGGGGGGGGGGGCGGTGCTGAAGCAGGAACTCTGCTGCTGATCTGGGCAGTGGAAGGAGAGAGCGACCAGAGCCATGGAACTCTCAGGGTCAGTGGGCTCACAGTGGCCAAGGAAGCAGGCCTGCATCTACGCAATCACCCTAACACTGGCACAGTCTGAGCCCTAGTAAACAAGTGAGGTGTACACTGAAGGGCGGGTTCAACAGGGACTCCAATCAGCACAGACCTGAGAGTTGAGCAGTGGGAAGGAACAGTCAAGGAGGCTGCAGCCTACTCACACGGAAGCTCCATACTGCTTCACGCCTAAGAGGGTGAAGAGCCCTCTGCAAACAGTGAGCCACTTTTGATACCAATTATTTAGAAGGATGGAGAGCAGACACTGCATGGAAATTCAGTTCTGTTTACTGAGGTAGATAAAATCCAGGGCTTTCACAAATCTTCATTTGCCATCCTTCCTAATAATGTCAGTGCCAACATTTCAGTCTCACATTAAATGTCTAAATCCTAAACTAAGATGAAAACCGAAGAGGCCAGCATCTCTCACGATAAGCTGTGCTATGGGCATAAAGGGGACACTGAATGTGGACTCCAGAAATAACTCCCAAGACCAGTGACCGAACACTATAAAGGATAGGACTAAGTTATTCCCAACTAAACAATCTATACAGCAATGCTATTCAATGACAGGACATAAATACTTTAAGCAGTGGGTAGAGAGATGGCTCTGAAGTTACAAGTTATTTGCTGCTCTTACATAGTCCTAGAGTTCAGTACAGAATCCACATCAAGTGGCCTATAACCCCTTAAAACTCCAGTTCCAGGGTATACAATGCCCTCTTCTGGCCTACACACACACCATCTAAACACTGTAAGTAGAATATTTTCATTACCAAATTATGTTTCCCAAATTGAAGTAAATCATTTAAAATTTACATGCAGAAAAATCAAATTCAGAAAAGAACAACTTTTTTCTCAAAAATCTTGCTCCAAAATGAGGATCAATCTTATAAATGGTTCTTATAGCATCTGTTGAATTACAGGAGCTCTCAAATGTGAATCTTTATCTAAAATCAAAGTCCTAAATGTCCTCAAAAGTCACATTAATAACTAGTCAAAAAGACTTACTTGCCAGCCAGCCATTGTGAGAGATGCCTGTACTGCCTACATGGGAGACATTGAGGCAGGAGGATTGCTGTGAATCCAAGGTCATACTCTTTTCCAAAAACAAATTAACTTAAAACAGATTCCATTATTAAAGAAAACATATAATGTTCTTTTAAGAACGTTATAAAACATCAATGCAATTACACAGGTATGGAATAGACCACCACATTCAAAACCAAACACACAGACATTCCATGAATAAGCATATGAGACTTAGGATAGAACACCCAGTAATTTTGCAAAAATGGATTCCAAAAGATCAGCACTTTGAAAATAACTAGAAGATTATGAGACAGAAGCTGAGCTACTGTAAGGACCGCAAGCTGGAGTGAGGGCTCCGCGGTGCGAGAGCAGGCCAGCACTGGGCAGTAACGAGGCTCCAGGACTCCGTGGCAGCCAGTCTAGCCCATCAGTGAGACTATGTCTCAAAAGGTAAGGTGGGGAGTGACACCAGCCTCCGGCTTTCACAGCACAGCCATGTACGCACAGTGCATACATCACACATACATAGGATACACACCACAGCATGCCAGGAAGGAGGGGAATAAAGGGCACTTGGTGTTCAGGTACTCCATTATCAACTACAGACCACAAATAACAGTCCAGAAAAAAATCTAGCATTTTAGCAAAATACAGCCCATATTAAATGTCTGGAAGTTGGTTAATAAAAACTGATCACTGATTCCATAGAGAATTGGTATTCTTTCCTATCACCAATCTAAGTGTTAGGGTTTTTTTGATAAAAGAGGTTGATACAAACTTCACTCCTAATTTATATACCTATAACTTCCAGTAACTCACAAAAGGTTACAGCATCAAGATATCATATTAGGTAAAACTGAGAAAAGAGACCTTAAATTACAACACAGCATTCTCCTCCATCAGGGCAATATAAGGAATTTCACTTGACTTCAACATCTCTACAGCCCTCTCAATCCACTACATATTTAGAGTTGAGGCCTAAATACCAACTCGCCTTAGCTTAAAGGAGTCAAACACTAGCCAGGAATCTTCCTAACAAGACTTTCTCGTGGCCTCAGCCCGTCCACAAGCCCTCAGCAGCCACACTGCTCTGTCCTCCAATTTCTCCTGCCCTGCCCACTTTCCCAGATATTCTCTGTGCTAAGACCTAGAATACTAAGAAGCCATCCGAGAGCTTGGGGGTTTCCATCCTTTCCTGCTTCTGATGCTCAGTTGTTTTATTCGGTTTCACCAGAGTGAACAGACAAATGGCCCAGATGAAACGAGAGCTGCCCCTGACTCTTCTGTCCCGTGGGCCTGAACTAGGCTCAGGCAGACAATACTCAGAGTAGCTGCAATAGATCCAGACACCTCCTGAAACAGAATGCTGAGGCAGGAATGGCAGGACCTTCGTCTGGGAAGGGCAGCAGCTCAACGGGGCCAACAGCTGCCCTCAGAGGCTGATACATGATTGCAGCCATGGTCTTCAGCACTGAGCTAAACAAACGCATTCTCCATCCAACGCATCCTCTTTGGAAAGGTGGACGGGGAAGAATGTTATTATATAATCTAACCAAAAAATGTTTTAATTTAGCTTGTGCACATGGAAAAGGTCAAAAACTGTCAGGATGCAGTTTTAAGATACTAACTATTTAAACGTGCTGCTATTTGTCCTTGAAGCCCCAGCTCTCTGTACTGGGAGACAACTGCGCTTTCCTCCGGCGTATTTAGATCCCCAGTTCCTCCCCTAAGTCAGGGCACCCCCCTGACACACTGAGCTCAGGCTGCACCCACCCTTTCCTTCATGCAGCAATGGCACAAACTGTCAGCAGCCTTCCTACCATGTACATCATTGATTGGACAACGACCTTCAGTTGAGAGACTGGAGGTCTGAATGTCATGAGAAACAAATCAATAATGTAAACTGAACTGAAGAAAACTATCAGACAGTTGATGGTAAAAATTACTTTGATAATAATCATCAGTATCTAAGGTATAAAAACGGTGACCACACTGCTAGCTGTCAGCTAGGACCGTGGAGTCTGGAGAGCTGGCACTGAGCCGCTCATCGTCACGCTGTTGGGCTGGACGGAAGTCACAGGCTCACCTGGTCTGGCATGTTCTCCTTCACGCGTGTCCAAGCTCCAGCTTTATATAAATACTGGGCTGGGCTCAGAAACTTGGCTCTATATTCAGAATTCACCTTGCTAAGAAAGACAGAAAGGAAGTAAGTATTTCAGCATGTTGACCACCCAAAAATGACTGTCGCCTAACAATACACATACCCAAGCCTTTGGTGTCTCCACGGAGCGAGCTTCTTTTTAGGCTGGTCTGTGTCTTCTGATGCCATCTCTACTTCTAATTCTAAAGGCTCGTCTGCCTTGTTATATTGAAATGGAAATAATTTCAGCTTTTATGCTTAGAGATGTCATACATTAAAGTAAAAACACAGATGTTATAAAGGGAGGCTTGCAGATCCAATTACATTTTTGCTTTTAGATGTTTTAGCTACTAAAGAAAACAAGAAAAATCAACAAGTTTTGAAAACAATGACTTTAGACCCCTGACTAGGGTTTTGTTGTTTTGTTTTTTAAATTTAAAGACTAACAAATGTCAAATAAATATTAAGCAAACAATTCTACTACATACTGAAAAGAGATTTTTAATTAATCCTTAAATTTACATTCAAGTGTTATAGTTATTAAAGTTGTGCTAATTAAGTTACCACAGTGCTTAACGGAATAACATTTTCCATCCCCAAGAATGTCATGAAAAGAAAGTATATGTGTGTGCTGTGTGCATACGCATGCATGTGCATGATGAGTACACGTGTGCATGTACGTGTGAGCATTTGCACCCATGCTCACATACACAGGTATATAATTTTTCTTTCAGTCGTATACTTTCTGTTTTTAAAAACCACAAAGTATCAGGTAACATTATTATAGGAGATTGAAAACAATATTCTATATTTCATTTTCCTATAATCTGCAATGATTTTATCCTGATGCCACCCATAACTTAGAATACCTCTAAGTTCACACACAAACCCGTGTTTATATTCACTGAAGTAAATGATATGAATTATACTAACTATAATTTACCATAATAAAAAGCTTGTCTTAAGATAAATGTGTGCTATGTTAATGGTCACTCCTCTGAAATACACCTTTCCATCACTCCGGCTGCCCTGAAGCTCTCTGCAAGGCCAGTCATGTGACATCAGACATGGAAGACTTACCTGTGGCACTGCTGAGTATGGCTATGCTGTATTAGTTTTAGTTACCTATGTATCTTTCTCCCAGCAGCCTAAGTGCTGCTGAGCCTTGCTGAGTCTGCAGCTGCATCTCAGCACACACACAGGACCTGGGTCTGTAAGCAGTCAATGAACATCTGGCATTTAACAAACAAATGAATTAATGCTAGCAGACGACAGGAACTCGGTGGAACAAAAGAGACTGTTAGGAGCTGGCAGATACCTTCTTCTCTGGAGACAATGTCTTAAGGCCACTGTTCCCTTTCAAACCCTCCCTTAGCTTCGGTTGCTTCACTGGAGACAAACCCTTGAAATTCCGCTTGTATTCAGACTCATGGACGATTGTATTCCCTTTGAATTGTGGAACAATTTGGCTTCTATTACGGAAAACCTTAAAACAGACAAAAAGAATAGCTCCGTTTTTGGTTAGTTATTAAGTGACACAGAACTTAGGTGTTTAATTGCTCTTAAAAACTCACAAAAGTTGAATTTTATATAATACACAAAAAGGCAAAATTGTATATGACTGCAGTTTCATTTCGCATGTGTCATTAGTAGCCAAAGGTCAAATTTCTATACTTATTACTATGTTTTAATTAGTCAAATTGTGATCAAAATATTACTAAAGCAAAAATAAACCACACTCCTTGTCTGATTTTCCCTTCCCAGAGTTCCCTACTTCCTCCCACCAGTCAGTAGTGAGATAATGAACTAAGCACATTTTCATAGCAAGAACAGACATGAGCTTTATTAAAGTAACTGTTGTCAGCTCTACAGATTATGTTTCTCCTTGGCAGAATTTCCTTTTTAACACTGGTGGAAATGCGAGCTGGTACAGCCCCTTTAGATGACAGTGTGGCAATTTCTCAAAAACTTAGGAAACAACCTTCCTCAAGACCCAGTAATACCACTTTTGGGCATATACCCAAAGGATGCTCAATCGTGCCACAAGGACATGTGCTCAACTATGTTCATAGCAGCTTTGTTTGTTATAGCCAGAACCTGGAAATAACCTAAATGCCCCTCGACCACAAAATGGATAAGAAAAATGTGGTACATTCACACAATGAAGTACTACACAGCAGAAAAAAATAACGGCACCTTGAAATTTGTAGGCAAATGGATAGAGCTAGAAAATGTCATATTGAGTGAGATAAGCCAGACCCAGAGAGACGACATAGGTACTCACTCATAGGTGGCTTTTAAACATAAAGCAAAGAAAACCAGCCTGCAATTCACAATCCCAGAGAACCTAAACAATGAGGACCCTAAGAGAGACAGACAAGGATCTAATCTACATGGGAAGTAGAAAGTAGAAAAAGATAAGATCTCCCGAGTAAATTGGGAGCATGAGGACCATGGGAGAAGGTAGAAGGGAAGGCTCCTGGAGAGGCAGGGACGAGAGCAGAGAAAATGTAGAGTTCAATAAAATCAATTTAAATAAAAAGAATTTCACTTTTACTGAAACAACATAAAATGGTGCCTGATTTGTTCAGTCTAATATTTTTTTCCTTGCCCTTTGCGTGCTCAGATTTAGCATTTTCATTAAGGCAAGAGAGAACATCCAACAATCACTATATTTCTCCTTTAAACATTTTCTTTCATCCATAATATTCAATATGGCTTCCATGAGCTAGCATATCACCACCAAAGACAATGAAATCCCAGGAGGGGCCAGGCAGGACGCACACCACTGCTGCTCTGCAGCACTGAAGAGCACGTCTTTGCATAGACCCAATCCACACACATCAGTACAACACAATCTCGGGGCTCGTCAGCCAAAACTATTCCAACTCTCTTCAATATTAATATGATGACCTTATTAACAAAAGGCACCTGATTAAAAGCAGATAGCTCCTTTAGCAGGGCCCTGAAAGCTATCAGCGAGCTCCACCAGGCCTCAAAGCTTTGAACTTACAAAGAGCATTTGCTTCCCAAAGAAACCCTTTGAAAGCCCCACTAATGAAAGCAATCAGATCGCTGATGAGACACTACTGACGGTTTGTTTCACGTTGCCCTTCTGATCCTATGGAAAAATCATTTCTACAAGATGCTTTCAGTGGCACATAAAATTTGTGAAGAAATCTTGGATTTGAGTCAGCTCTAGCTATAGGTCAAATGCTCTACAAAAACAAAACTTCGTTTTCAAGTCACTGGTATTTTTTAGGGACACTTACTATCTAAGAACACTTGAAAGCAAACAAGAAGAAATACTGGTCCTATTTATTGGGTCCTAAAAAGAGAACACAACACTTTGTGTTACACCTCACAGGATCCTAAAACATATAACAACTAAACAAAGCTGCCACAGTTTACACGGCCAGAGGTGTGCAGATGCCAGTGTGAAATCACAGAGGTTGAGCCCTGCTGCATCTACCGCCCTCTCCGGGCTCCGCTACAGGGCAGGCAATGAGCACTGAAATCCAGGCAGAATGAACGGAGGGCATGGAAGGGTGCACGGACTTATAAAGGAAAACACAAAGATCAGGAAAAAGATGAAGCTGTCATGTCAGGGGGCTCCAAGTGAAGAACATAAGTAAGAATTCAAAGGCTAAGAACTCTCCAGAAGACAGCAGCAACTAACAGAATGTTTATTAGCAAGGTAATAAAATAGTAAAATTGCACAAGAACAAAATGAAGTCTAAGAATCTAAATATAATGACAAATACAGCTAAACTCAATTCCTGTCATCACTCAGCTGATTCAAGGGAGCAATGACATCAAGGACTACTTTCAATGTGCTTTGCATTCATTCACTACCCTAAACAACTATCTTTTTTAAAAATTAAACATCATACAAAAACATTAGTCAAATAAACAACAGTTTAGAATATGACTAATTTAAAGATTTAAAGGTAAATCTTTTGGTGTGGGAACACTTGGCACCCCTGGCATTCTCATTGTCCTGACCCCTGCTTAGTGGGTCAGGCCACAGCGACCGTCAGTAGCACAGGCCTGTATATTACTATATACATTATATAAATCATAAGGGAAAGCAAGAGTCCAGCAAAACCCTCACTCTGTCTTTCAGAACCTAGAACCAGGCCTAGGTCAGTCCCAACTTTCTCCCAGCTCTTAGTTCCGCATGAGTCCGCATTACTAACAGGCTAGCGTGTGCAGAAACATCACAGTCCTACCTGACTGGCTGCAGACACAGGAGCAGCCTCTTTACGGGTCTTCCAGACAAACTGCCTTTGGTATTCAGAATGTCTCAAGGCATTGTACGATGGAACAACAGCCAATCCAGCTTTCTTACGAAGACGCCTATCCAACTGTTGGGGAGAAGAAAACCCAGTCAAGGCTATTAAAATCTGTTCCTTTGTAAAGTGTGCTATAAAGTATGTAACATGAAATTTATCCCCTTAAGTTTTAAGTGTTCCTTATAGTATTGCTAACTACATGCATACAGTATAGCAAACTTTTAACTTCTAATCACATTTAACTGTCAAAATATTTAAAACTCCTGTCTTAATAATAATGTCAAGGAAGTATTATGCATCTAAAAAACAGCATTGCGCAGTTCCTTCCATCTAATCACTCACAACTAAATCTAGTATCAAAAAAATCACAGCCCCTTGCCCTATCCCCAACTTCTGCGGCCACCCTTCCCTTTGCCCACCAAGCTCACACATCACCTTCCACGGTCCCCCTACATCCCCTGGCTTTCTCAACAAGTCACGGAGTCTTCTCCAGCACTCCTAAATGGCTCCTGGGTTCCAGTCAGTGGCTGAAGTAATAAATTAGGGCAAGAGCAACAGAACTAAATGTGGGAGACAGTGAGATTCCCACACACACCCCTGCAGCCTCCACTTATGTGCCTGCTACAGGCCAGCGGTGACATCAGAGGACTCGGAGAGCCAGCCAGAAGGCTCCTTCCTTTCCCTTGGGTCAACTGAGATGCTGTTTGTTCCCTTGCTGGTCACAGTAAGAAAGAGAAACGAGGGTAGGCAGAAGTCAGCTGAGCGCCCCAGCCAAAGAAACAGCCTGCTCCCCTTCTGCCTCAACTTGACCTCATCCCTCAGGACTCTGGTGCCAGTCTCTCTGGAGAAAAGAATCCAGAGGCAGCTGTTCATCTCAGGAAGGCAATGTCTTAGTACAACCAGTACACGGTACAAAATAGTGAGTATTAAGAATAGAGCCATTCTTAGTAACTTTCAGCAGCCTGGTGCATCTAGGCCAGAGACACAAGAAAATACCAAGAAAAAAATTTCAAATACACAATGTAGTAGTGAAAAATGATGATGAAACCAATAAAAGCTGCCACACTTTTCTAGAGAAGTATGATGGACATTCCTACCCTGGGGTCTACACGCTCTGCAAGAGGTTTGGTAGAAGCTTCCAACTCCGCTTCTTTGGGATCCAGTACATGGTTTCTTGTTACATCCTGGTGCTTTTCCACAGCATCTGAAGCCCCTTCAGCTCTGGAGTCTGCAGAATGAGATCGAGTTCTCTTGGGAACCCTGGAAGCCTCTAACGAGGGAGCTGTTTCTTGGTTAGCATCTTCCTTTGGCTCTGCCTCCTGTAGACTTTGTGTTGGCAGGGTCTGGGGCTCAGGCGGGACAACCGTATCGTCCTCTGTGATGGCTCCATTCCACTTCAGCGATTTTGAAATCTGAGGGTCATGGTAAGGAACCCTCCTTTTTGAAATAAAACTTGGCTCTTTCGTGATCCCTACAAAACATAGCACATAAAAGTGGCTACTACCAAAGCTCACAGTCGGGAAGAGCTTTTAATAAAACCTGCGAGGAGAGAGACAGAGCTGAAAATTGAGAGAGAGCAAGATGGCACCTGCCACCAAGCTTGACAACCTGAGTTCAATCTCCTGGTAGAAAGGACAACCTACTCCCACAAGCTGTTGTGTGACTTCTACACATGCCCTGTGACATACACACACACACACACACACACAGATTACAGGACTTTAAAAAACTAACTAGGTATAGTTTTCGATATCAAATATTTATTCTGCTTTAAAGTAGTATTAAAATTGAACACTGAGGTCACAATGTCCGAAATCTCCAAGCACAAGCCACGGGCATCACAAGGTGAAAGATCTGGCAGGTCAGGAATGCTGCCTCCGTTTCTGGTTACTTTCCTGTGCTACTTAGAACAATAAGCTCTGGTCTGTGAGATCCAGAACTTTCACAAAGTTTCTCCTGTGCACAACAGACCAAGATGAACAAGATGAGATGTCACCACGCGAGATCCTGGCTCTCCTCTATCGTGATGTCCTGAGAATTCAAGAGTGACCCTTTACCAAGAGACACAATTCTCCACATCACAGTCCAGCAGGCACACAGACCAAGCGGAACCTCAGCCTCTACTGAGGGAGGTGGAGTCTGCAGCACTGAGCTAATGCCCTAGTTCGGGCGGGGCCATTCTTTAAATAGAAGGAGGGCTGCTCCGCCTAAGGAAGAGTAAGACTGGAGCAGAAGGGCGGGAAGGCGGCAGGAAAGCTGGCTTGAGGTAAACCCAACATTCCCAAGCCTGTCTCTGAGTGGCTCTGCACTGAAGCAAGGGTCCCACGCTCCGGGCTTCCCTGGTCTAGATGATGTCACTGGACAGACACAAAGAAACACCTGGAGGAGGGGGTGGGGTGATCAGGAGGGGGTGGGGTGATCAGAAAGGGGCATTTTCTAGATCCCGAATTCTGCGTGTGCTCTAGCTTAATACTGCTCTATCTGCCATCTGTGTTTCTATCCACTGCAGCCTACCGTGGTCACACTTTTGCTCTACAGGAGACAGGAACACATCTCCAGCAGCCCGACATGACCTGTGGTCACGGCAACATATTCCAGGAACTCAGGGCTAGGGAGACAAAGGGACAAGAGAGCACGAGGCCCGTCTGCTAAGGGACACTGTCTCACAGAAAAGCAAAGAAGCTGCAGCTGAGTTCATGCTTTCCTGGCTGCCCCACAGTGGGAAGCCACGCACGCTTGCACCGTAACCTTGAACCACAGCACACAGACTCTCCGCATAGGAAATGGCTTGATTTGGTAAGTCGGTTCGCCAATGAGGGTGGCTTTGCAAATTATATTTTCTATAAACTGAAAGGAGCTGAGCTGGCAGCTCTGAAGCATAGACACACTCCACCAAAATACACATCCCTGGGAGCAATCGAAGAGCTTAGGAAAAAGGTAAAGATCAGTTTTAGAATGGGAGGAAGGTTAACAGACCTTCCTAAGTTTGGGGGACCAATAGGGACCAATCCCAGTGTTGGGCATGAGCTCTGCCGCCGAACCACACTCTGCTGCCCTCTAAATCTTTTTTTAATTCTTATTGGATGCACCTGAGCATTTTGCCTGTGTGTATGTATAGTACAGCATGATTGGTGCCCTCAGGGGCCAGAAAGGGATGGATCCCCTGGAACTAGAGTTACAGACAGTTGTGAGCTGCCATGTGGGTGCCAGAGACTAAACCTGGGTCCTCTGCAGGAGCAGCAGTGCTCTTAACCTCAGAGCCATCTCTCCCAGGCCCTCTTAAATCAAAATAAAAATGGAAGACCATTGCTTTAGACTTCTGCTGGAACAGAAGGGAAGGTTTTAGTGACAAGCAAAGACCACCAGTCTCTCATCAGCTGCCCTCTGTCTTCCCAGCTCCAGCAAACAAACGCCCCTGGTAGTGAGGGTTGCACTGTATTGAGAGAACAAACCACAGGCCTAGGTAATCCCATGGCTCCTTCGTAGCCTCCTACTTCCATTTCTGAGTAGCCTGAAATCCTTGTTTCCTGAATTCCCACGAGCCTCCCTCCCCTAAGCCATTACTTCCTTCAAAATGTACCCCGCTCTGAAGCGGCTTCACTCGTGTGGTCTCCTCTCATTACTGGTCCCTGAATGTTGCTGATCTCGGCTAAAATGCTAAAAGGCAATGAATCAAGTTAACCAATTGTCGAGTGTCCAGTCAAACCCCTCTGGCCTTCAGTGAAGATGGTTATACTTGAAGACCAGTTTAGTTTGCATTCTTGATCTGACAAACCCTGCCAAGTACAGAACATGGGAGCAGAGAAGTTTTCCAATATGCTGCCTGAGAATCAGGCCTCTGAAGTCAGACCCTGGGCTAAAAATCTACGCTGCGGTAGCCCCAAGGAGATAACCACACTTCCTTCTGTTCTCCAAACCTAATTTAAACACATCCCTTATTTTACTGCCTTCAAGGCTTGGAGCCCTCACTGTAAGTCATGCCTTCCCCTGGCTCCAGATGCCTCACATCAGTCACTGTCACACACCACCTATAGGACACTAAGTATCGATCTATGTGCGTAAAGCCCTTACCAAGCAATGCCTCCTTTGGCCCTACCCAACAACCACGTGCAATATGGCTTCCTAAGGCCCATTTGGCAAGGCTTGATTTGCTCCAGGTTATAGTTATTGTATACTCAAATTCAGATTGATTCATCAATTTGAAAATGAGTTTTAGGGCTGACATTGCCTCCTAAGCATGAGAACCTGAGCTTGACCCCCAGGACCCATGTAGAAACAGCCAACTGTGGTGGCTCTTACGTGAGCACTGGCGAGGTGGAGACAGATGTGGACCCTTGCGGCTCACGGGCCAGTAAACCTAATCTAATTAGTGAGCCAATGGAGACCCTATCTCCAAATGAAGTGGGCGATCTTCCTGAGGAATGAGATTCAGGATGGTTCTCTGGCCTCTGCAGGGATATGCACATACGTGGACCTGCACACATACAAGCATAATAAAAAGTATTCTAACAGGGAGCCAAGTGTCCCAAAGCCCCGTGTTTCTGCTGGCAAACAGGAGATAAGAGGGCTGTGCTCAGAGATGCCGGACTCCAGCAAGAGAGGCAGCAGCTGCCATGGTCAGGCTGCCATTTCCACTGTGCTCTCGGAGTCCCTGATCCAGGGCTCAAATTCTCTCAGGTCTGGAGAAGAAGCATATAAATGAGAACACAGCTCTAAACTCATGAGCACTGGCCAGAACAGACGAGAACAAGTCACGGCTCTGATGCTAACTGAACCTGGGTGAGCTGCTCTACCTACGCTTCCGCTCCTCAAAACTGTGGGAGTCTTCTTCCCCATGCTCGCCCCTCTCAATTTTCTGGTTCAAGTCCAAACACCCCCAGAAGTACCCTTAAAGAACGGCAAATCTCAAGCGTATTCCCTTCATCTCTACTCTTCAACCTGTTTGCTATCGTGCTATTTTATATACAACCTGAAATGCCTTATTTACTGAGTTTCTTTTTATCTGTACATAAAGGAGTTTGGGATCACGGTATAGCATCAGTAAATATTTGCCAAGCACATGTGACTCAGTCAAGACAAATGTATCTTAATTGTTTTGTAAACAAAACCTAAGGTTTATTCAGGTTATAACAGCTACCAGTTGGCTCCACTTACCTAACTGATCCGATCTAAGTCCGGCCCATGAGTACTTCCGCCCCACTGAGGGGTTGTAGGACTCTGACAAATACGACTTCTTCCACAGAAAGCTTCTCTGGTATTCACTCAGCCCCTGCAACGCAAAGTGCAAAGTACAATTTGAGCACCGTGTAATGAACAGTGTTTTAAAAGCCAGCATCAAAAAGGAAAAACAAAGAAAATCTCAACCTCCAAAGAGTGTTGAACCGCCTAAGAATGATCATTAGACTCAGACAAGCTCCTTAGCAATGGCTAATATTTACCCAGCCACGGTTAAGGAGCCCTTTAATCCTCACAGCCACTCTGGGGCAGATGGGAGCAGGAGTCATGCTCAGAGAGGCTGCCCTGTAGCTGGTTCTCTAATTCCAAAGTGTGAGATCACCATCACTAGAGATTTAGTCTAAGTTCCCACCAAGTGCATAATATTATGGATTCCACCCAATTCCTTTCAATAAAAGACAGCTGCAGAAAAACAAGTCTCCCCTCCCACTCGGCCCACAAGCCCTGAAGAATTAGTGGGGATTTCTAGAAGACTATGGCCACCTGTTGCGTGGAAGGGTGCCAGACACAGACAGCTACCTGGAAATGTTAGCAACCCCTAAAACATACCCACCCACGCTCTCCTCTCACTGAGGGCCCGTTTCCAATTAGAAGGCACACACTTTAAGGTTTGCTGGAAAAGGGGTGCTGAATGCAAACATCAGAGGGACCACAGGTGTCCTACAGTGAAAGCAGCCTTTCGTCCCACTGTCAAGTGCCCTCCTTCCGTCTCCGCTCCTGGAGCTCCCAGAATGACCCCATGAGGACCCCGTAGAACTCTCCCACACCAGCACCTCCGCGCTGGACCACGGGTCGGAGCATCCTCGGCCCCGGCACAGACTCCAAGCCAGGAGCCTCCGTGAGGCCGAAGTGCGCACCCCGCCACCAGACGCCGAGCCCCCCGAGCTCACCTTGAAGCGCACCGGCATGTCGCCCTGCGCTGCGGCGCCAGTCCCGCCGACAGTTAACGGGACCTAAAGCCACGAGGGGCGGGGCGACAACACCGGTTCCCTAGCAAGATCCCGGACCCGGCGTCCCCGACGACGCGCCGGCGCACTCCTCGCCGCCCTCCCGTTCCCCCCGCTCGGGTTTGCTCGGCCCGTTTGGCAGCCTGCAGACCAATGGCAGCCCTTACCGTCATTACGATTAGACCAACCAACGCTCACAAGGGTGCCGCTCCGCACCCCGGCCTGCTGCAAAAAAAGGAATGGCGGGCGGAGAACCAGCCAATGAGGATGCGGGAACTGCGGTGGGCGGGGCCCGCGGGAGCTGGGTCCCGGAGAGGAGGCTGCGGGCCGTGAGCTCGCCCAGCTCGAAGACCGGATTGCCTGCCTGCCTGCCGTGTGCCGGCCGAATTCCGCCACCTCGCTGGTTCCAGGCGTCTGGCATCACAGACCGTGAACGCGCGCCTGGCGTTCTAGAATGCACGACAGAACCCAGAGTTTCTTTTTTCTGAAAGGAAATTGTCCAGGAGGATCTGGCTGAAAACCAGTTCCTAGCGACAGCCAGGACCAAAAGCATAGGTCCAAAACTGCACACGACGTAGGCAGATTCAAATAAATTTTATTAAGACCACGAAACCAGCTACTGTCGTCTTTCAATGGTGTTCTTCCAGGGGAAAAAAGGATTCATATCAGGCCTTAACGAGGGTGGTGGGGACACATTATGATTGTGAATCGCAACTACCAGTCCTTCAGCCTTGTTTCTTCTCTCATCCATTTTTAAAACTAAAATTCTATCTATGAACCAGGCTGGCTTCAAACTCACAGAGATCCTCCTGCCTCTGCCTTGGGAGTACTGTAATTAAAGCTGTGACAGGCTGAACTCTGAGTACAGGGCCGGCCTGGTTGGTCTACGTTTCCAGTACGGTCAAGACTATACAGAGAAACCCTGAATATGAATGAATGAATGAATGAATGAATGAATGAATGAATGAATGATAAATAAATGTCCTTCTGATTTAAATAGGTTTTTTTGTCTATCATCCTAAATAGTCTTAAAATTGCTAACTCTAAAAGTCAAGAAAGAAATTGTCCAGGCATGTCAGGGAAAGACACACATAGATTTATGTTGTGGGAGTAACTTCCGCTGCCTCAACCAATAATCGCTGAAGCAGGAGCCCACAGTGCAGCGGGGAGCGACTTCCGCTCCGTCAGCCAATAGCTGCTGAAATACCAGCCCACTGGGGCGTGGTATATTTCTCTTTTAAAAAGAGAAGCAGATCCGGATCAGGCCCTCTTGGTTCCGGCTCTTGGTTCCGGTGCTTGGTCCCGGCTCCTGCTCCCGGCTCCTGCTCCTGGCTCCTGCTCCTGGCTCCCGCTCCCGGCTCCTGCTCCAGCGACTAGGCTCCCTTCCTGACGATTTATGGTGTATGTAAGTTTTACCCCCCAAAATAAATAACCCCTTAAAACATAACTGGTGTGGGATTGATTCACCGATAGATTTATTCAATAATAGTATAATATGTCCCATGTTCACTTTCCAACTAGCAAGCATGAATAAAAAGTTTGAAGCAGAGAAGTCATTTCCTGGGGTTGGAACAATTAGAAAAGACAGGAGGAGGGGGCATTTCAGACTTGACCTTGAAAACTTCAAGGAAAACAGATGATCGAGGCAGAAGTCTGGCTAGAAGGCTGCCAGGGTTCTTCCAGGAATGAGGAATGTACCTGTTACTTTTGTCATTTGTTGACTGAAAGAAAAAAACACCTCTTTTAAATGTTGGGATGATCACATGAAACCTACATGCTCTCCTTTAAGCATTTCCTGTGGACTTGCCTTTCTGATCCCTAATTGATGTCTTCGTTCATCTTCATCATCCCTGAGATACTTAAAAATTCATTTGAAAAAGCCACCTGATGTACAAAACAAAGAGAATATTAAATAAGTCCCCAAGCAGCCACACATCCAGGAGGCCTTTCATTAATGCTAATTGGTGATGACAGAAGCTCAGCCGTGTGAATTAAGAACGACACAAGCGAGGCCCAGTGGAACATGAAACAAAACTCCCCGGCAGGAAAGCAGCCCAGACTACAGAGTAGGGAAGACCCCATTCTGATAGCACACAAAGCTTTGTCACCGCACAATGCCAGGCGGAAGTCAGCATGCAGGACTGAAAGAACACAGCCTGTCTGCTTAAACAAGGACAACAACGATCGTGATAAAGCTCTGCCGGGCAGGGAACAAAAGGCAGGAAAACCAAATGGCGGGTGGGAAAAATGACTTGAGGCCAAGTTTGCTAGAGATGTATTACAAGGACTCAAGAAGAATTTTTTATTGTACTACTGTTAAGAAAAAATCAACGCCCCAGAAATGAATCAAAGATGTGAAATAGAAGTGTGAACTCTGCAAATGAATTGTGCAGTCCGTGTTACCAACTCTTGCCATCTTTGCCACTACAAAAAAAACAAAAACAAAAAAAAACAAACAAACACACACACACACACACACACACACACACACACGAGTGTGGTGGCTTCCAAAATTCCACGCCTGTTTTTCAGGACAGGTACTGCCCCACAGGGACTTACACCCAGCAGCACAGCCTCTCTAATAGTCACAGGTCTGTAGAAGTACTATACTGTTACTGCTGGCTACAACTACATTAGCTGGGTACTAAGTCTTCACTAGACAAAGCTACTGTTTAAGCTACCCAGTCTGGCTATAGATAAACGACCCCTCTTTCCTTTCTTTCCCCCAGTAAGAGAATGGTGAAACATGTTAAACAACTGTTGCTTTGTTTTGATCTTTCTTATCTCCAAAGGTCTAGGATGAAGTTGATGGTAAATGAAGCCAGAAAGTGATTCCTCTTAAAACAGAATTTATGTTACGCTTCTCTCTTCTCTTAGGGGCCTCTCACAACCGCTCACAATGGATGGGACCAGGGTACCATACCTATCTCCTGCTTCCCTATGTGACTCTCTGTTTCTCCTACAAGCAGAATTACTATAACCCCAAATGAGAACAATTTGACAATCCTTTTGATGAATCAGTTCCTCTTCTACAAATTTATCTTATGGAAAGACTCATACACATATGAAAAACATTCATTTAAGATTGTTTGATGCATTGTTGCTGATAATAAAAGATAGGTATGATGGTTACTTTGTTTGCTCTACTGGGTAGGAAACCACCTCGAAAGTGCACCTGTATCTCTGAAAGTGTTTCCAGAGAAAGGGCAGCAAGCAGCATCCCATAACTGGAATGTCAGAAAAGCAGAGAGGAGTCGTGGGGGAGGGGTATGGACATCAGCATTCATTTCTCTTGCTTCCTGCATGTGAACAAAATGTGAGCAGCTGCCTCATGTTTCCACCGCCATGTCTTCCCACCAAGATAGACTACATCCCTTACTAAACTGTGCATCCTGGTGCGAGAGAATTGTCTGTATTCTGTCAATCATGTTTCAAATAAACGCTGATTGGCCAGGCAGGAAGTATAGGTGGGTCAATCAGACAGGAAGTAGAGGCAGGGTGATGAGAACAGGAGAATGCTGGGAAGGAGGAAGCCCATTCTTCCCATTCTTGCCCAGATCACGGAAGAAGCAAGATGTGAGCTGCCCTGATGAGAAAAGGTACCGAACCAAGTGGTTAACATAGATGAGAATAATGGGTTAATATAAGCTACAAGAGCTAATAAGTAGCCTGAGCTAATGGGCCAATCAGTTTTATAACTTATGGAGATCTCTGTGTGATTTTCTTTGGGGCTTGCAAGCTGTGAGGAACCGGGCAGGACATAAACCCCAACAAGCAGGCTCCTTCGTGTTACAGCATTCCTTATTAAATCCTTCCTCCTTTAAGGAACAACAAAGAGGTGTGGGCAGTAGAGAGTTGAGGGCTTACAGCACTGAGAAAAATGATGCATACAGTAAGGCATGGTCTAACTGTCCTCCAAAGAGCACACACACACACACACACACCATGTAACCCTTAAAGAGAGACATTTCCATGAATCAACATGCAAGACTCTCCAAGATAAAAGAAAAAGCCGGGTATGCATATGATCTGCCAACAGTTGGGACACAGGAAGATCATGATAAGAGAAGCTGTGTCATCTGCTATGGTACAGGGACATTCACAGGGTGACTCTAACCCCATTCACAGCAGCTAGAGAGAAGTATTTTGTTCAACCCACTCATAAGGATATGCAAATTATTTTTATGGAGGGAGTAGCACATGTGTGCTGTGGCATGTGTAGAGGTCAGAGGGAAGCTTCTGGAAGTAATACTATTAGTTGTCTTTGGGACTGTTTTCCTTATATAAATTAACTCCTCCAACAGGCCCTCTCTAGGGTCATCTAATTTGCATACACTACACATAATTTCTATACAGTAACAAAAAAAATCCTTTTAAGGCAACTTTAATGGCCCTTGAAATGGCTTGTCTGCCTTTCAGTTAAATGCAGGCGCCAACGGTCTTACAAATGCCCTTCCTCTCATGGGAGCAGCAGAAATATTGGGGAATTTGCATTTGCTTCTAAATATATTTGCTTTATTTAACAAAACAAAATTCTACACAAGTAAAATACCGCAAGGCTAGGGGCGGGAAATGGTGCCAGGTGGATAGGTAAGATACAGCCCTGCTGCCAAACTTTGATCTCACACAGGGAAGGATGCGTACACAGAGAGTGCAGGGAGTAAAATGAAACGCTGCAGGGGCTGTGTGTGAGCACCTGGATTTGCGAAGGATGCTTTTAAATCTACTGCCATAAAGTTCCTTCTAGAGGAGACTAAAGAGTAGGCAGGACAAAGAAGCTGCTTTTAAATGCCACCCCCAGAGACACCTGATCCAGGGCCTTTCACTTTGTCTTTGTTCTGCCCTGAGTAGCGAATCAGGGCCAGACCTTCCTGGGGAAGATGTAACTAACGTTTGCGCCCCAAAATGAAAAATGCTGTCTGTATCTCAATATCCCATCCCCCTTCCTTGCTACTTCAGAAACCAGTGAAGCCAGTTTAGAAATCCACTGAGAGAGCGAGCAGCCTCCTGTGTTTGCAAACATGCAACCTTTCCTTAAATGCCTTATGAAGCGACTGGCGCTCCAGGTGCTCCGGCTCCCCGTTCTTCAGCCCTGCAATATCCTTGGGTTT